AAGCATTTAATGCTTGAATCCTTGCTTCCAGTAACTAGGGTGATCCAATAGCTCTCCAAGTTTTCAGCGATAAGACTGATATGTTGGAGGCTGTACCAACTTGAAATGTAATTTCATGCCCATCAGTGTTGATGGTTACATAACGGAAGCATTTTCCAGGGGTAGGAAAAATAATACGAATACCGGAAGACTTTTTGGATTTATAATAATGTCTTAAATTACCATTTTCTTCCAACACTTCGTGGGTTTTAGATCCCCTACCAGATCGCTTCTTTCCAGATTTGTGCGAACGTGGGTCTGGTATTTTCCTCCGGTTCTGGCATTCTCTCGCCAAATGCCCTCCTGCGCATACTCAACAAGGTCCTTTGCGCTTCTTCATCCTACTCGGGGTGTATTTTTGCTCGGCTCATATTGATTTTCCCCATACCGGCTTTTATGCGTCGAACTTTTTCTGCTCACAGCATTGACCTCCGTTGTGCTCGACTCAATCAGTCGTGTATCTTCAGCTAAGTTCTGGATTCTTTTACGTTCCTCCAACAGCTTTGGAATAGTTGCATCTGAGATCACAAGTATCAACCCAAAGTCGGAGGCTTGGCGCATGCCTCTCTATAGGTATAACTCCATACAGATATTTGCAATACATAACCTTTTTAATACTTAGGTGTAGATCTTGGCACGTGGATCGATGGAAAGTCTTGTTGGGACTTGCACTCGTGTCGATAGCCGGATTGTACTACCACCACGCCCTGCCTTTTTATACCGTCCACTGACACTTGCCTCGTCCAATTTGGTTCCGTTATTTGATCAATCCATCGCTTGTTCTGGCCTTCGTGATTCGTCCAAAATGACCGTATTCGACAGGCCTTCTGGCGGGTTCCCTAATGTAGATGCACCATGAAGAGAAAGTAACATCTCCTTCACCTATGTACGGAGTTATATGTAAGCCATGCCTAAAAAGGTCTGAACCCAACACATTTAGGTTAGAGTCATCATATATTTCCTCAGCATTCCTTACATCGATATCACCACCAGCATTAATTGCTAGTGAAGGGC